GTGGTACGCCGGTGTGAAAAACTGTCCCGGAAAGCTCATCCACTATTCTTCGTACCGTTTGACCAAGGAAGTTGTTTCCCGGCCAGACCCCCAATTTGTGGAAAGTAAGGCACGCCCTAGGAGATTTCTCGTACTTCTCCGCTCCGCAACACGTCTTACTCCGATTTGTTGTCCGGGGTAACTTGCTTGATGGTCTTGTAGGTAGGTAAACTAGTTCTCTTTTATTGATCTTTTGTAGGTAATACTCTAACTCTAATCTATCTCTAACAATTCTTTAGGCTAATACACGATTCACTCCTAAGTCACTCTGTTTTTCCGATATGTTCTGAGTCATAAGTCCCCCCTCTCTCTCCCCTCTTCTGCCTCGAACTCCACTCCTCCTAGGTATCCCACACTCCAGTCCCTTCCTACTTCCCGCGATGTCATCCGCTGTCACCCCCTCGGACTCCGCATGTCACCCCTCCGACGCCTGTCGGTCCAAGTACTCCTCCGGCCGCTCCTAAGCAGGTCGCCCACCGCCGCTTCCGCCTCTGGTCCGCTCCGAACCCCGCTTCTGCCCCTCGGTGCTCCCCGCTCTTTGTAGCCTCTCCGCAGTATACACTGAACCCCCGTTCCGCAGTCGGCCCTGATCCCCGGCGTCCGCCGATGCCCGAATTCCCCGCAGTAAGCTTTTCAGAACCTTGTGCATTCGGTCTACCTTTCTCCGCTTTCCCGCGCCTCGGAAAGCTAGACTTTCCACTAATGCACCGCCGCTTTCCTCAGCCTGCTTGTGTAGCGTCAGCTCCGCGTGCTTTCCGCATCAGCGCCGCGAGCATTCCGCATGCCCCAAACAAACCGGCCAAAGCTTTGGCCAAGGCGCGCTCCCGCCACCACAACGTCCTGCCAGCCGCCCGGCCAATCACATGTACGGAGCCACTCATCGCAGCGGCCACCAGTCTGGCACTCCACAGCCCAACCTCCCTGGGGCCCCACACAGACCAGGAACCAACTGGGGCACATCCACACAGTCTGGCCCCCCACCGGCCAACAGCTATCACCCCTCACTGGCCAACAACTATGGCCACCCTCCACCCAACTACGGCAGCCCCGCACAACCACCGGCCAACTACAATGGCCCCATACGGCCCAACAACTATGGCCAACCGCTGGCTATCAACTATGCCCAAGCACAGACCAACAACAATCAGCCCGCACCACCGCCACCCAATAACTATGGTCCCCAACCGCCCAACAACAATGGTCCCCCACCAGCAATCAATTATGGCCACCCTCCATCCAACTACTATGGTTCCCCACTGACCAACAATGATCACCGACAATTTCCCAACACCTATGGCCTTGGACCGACCGGGAACTATGACTCAGACATCTACGGTGTCGGTGTACTTCCTCCCAACAACATTTGCGAACCTATGATCAACCCCATTCAGGACCCAGGGAACAACTACTGCATTGCTGCCGGGAACAATTACTCTGTCCTGCCAGTGGCCAACCACAGGGCTCCATCAGTCCTCAGTCAACCTGGCCATCCTACGAACATGAACACCACCAGAGTGTCCGACAACATCCGCAACCCACATTTGAATCAGGATCACGCACGCCGGACAAATGACTACAATTATGCAGCCACCCCAGGAAGTGCAGACCCACATGCTTCTGGCCATTTGTCCCACGTGGGCCCTACCGCGCAGGGACATCTCATTGCACCTGGTGGTCGGATTTCAAACTACAACAACGACCCAAATTGCGACTTGGGCTCCAGCGGGCATTTGACCTCTAGACATCACCCCCCTGCCCTGCTGCCTCTGGCCCCGGCCAGTTACACATCGGCGTTTGAAGACGGTCTCAATCCAGGCGACGAATTTCACGAGCTCCAATCGAGTTTTGCAGCCAACCGTATCGATGATGCTGGGTCACTCATTCTGGGGTCAAACCCCAGCCTTTCTGCAACATTCGGAAAAGCTGCAGTTGATTCATCCTTGGGCGCCCTTATTGGTCCGACCTCGTTAGATGCGGGATCCAATGGTCAAATTTCAGATGTCCAAGTGGACGTTCGGATGGATGAACAAGGCGATCAAGGGGGATTGGCCGAGGTCTCAGGACGCCATGAAGGTCAGTCGTGTGGTGCATATAATGCATCGGGACACTTGTTGATTGTTTTCTCTTCTGGTAAGCAGAGGCGCCAGGCCCAGAGGTCACAATAGGCAACCCCGCCACTCGGGCTGATGGGGACATTCAACAAGACCCCCAAACAGTGGTGTTGACACGTGCCGAGTGACAAGTTGACTACTCCATGGAGTGAGTGGAGCTCCAGAATGGCTTGAACATATGCTTGGGCTGAGACTGGCAGGCTTGCAATCTTTCAACAGCTCCAATGGATGATCCCCCACTGTACCGCTTCACTGATGCAGATGCCTTGAGAGAATTTGCTCAAAGGTGGGCAAGGTCTCATGGTTACAATGTCCCAACTGGTAAATCACATGGAGGGAAAAATGTGTATTTGGGTTGTTCTTTGGGCGGGGAGGACTGCAGGCCGGCAGGCGTGGCGAGGCAACGAGAATCCCGCAATCGCAAGATTGGTTGTCTGTACCGGTTATCTGGCCATCACTCCAATTCACAACAGTTCCCAAATGCTACCTGGGAACTACGGGCATCACGTTCACCTCACAATCATGGCCCAATCAATGTGAAATGTGAGACCGTGCACAAAAGGCTGGCTCCAGAAGTGCAGGAGGAGGTGAATCGTCTACACTCGCTCGGTCTGAAACCTCAGGCGATTGCCCAGATGCTCAACAAGACCAACGGGGAATTTGTCTCACTTCGAACGATCTACAATACGACTGCCGCGGCAAGAAGGGCCAAGCGGGGTGGTGAGAGTCCAATCCAATTCTTGCTCCGTACGGTCCAAAGTTCGAACTGGGAACATGAAACAGCCTATGACGCAAAAGGTCAACTTCTATACCTATGGTTTGCTCATCCGGAGGCACTGAAGCTCGCCCGGAGGTTCCATCATGTCGTTCTGATGGATTGCACGTACAAGACAAATGTCACCAACTATCCCCTCTTGCACATTGTGGGGCAATCTGCGACTAACATGACTTTTTCAATTGGGTTCTGCTTTATGCGGAATGAGACTAATGAGGCGTATGCATGGGCGTTGAATAAGCTGGCGTGAGTGCTCTATTTTTTTTTTCCAAGGTAAGGAGGAAGAGGCTAATGAGGTCATTGTGTAGTGGTGTTTGGGCCCCAGAGAGGACCCCCCAGGTGGTTGTCACAGATCGGGAGAAGGCCCTCAGGAACGCAATCGCTGTACACTTCCCAGATGCCATAAACAACGTATGCTTGTGGCATATTGACCAGAACATCCGGGCCAATTGCCAGCGGTCATTCGTGAAAGACCAGGCGGAATGGAACGTGTTCAAGTCAAAATGGAACGAAGTACAGTACGCAAAGGACGAGGCGACGTATGACGCCGCTTGGGCTCGGCTTGTGAAATATCTTGGCGAGGAGCGCGTGGTTGTTGTCGAGTATCTCATTGATAATGTCTTGCCAGACCGATTTTATTTCATGACCCCGTGGGTTTCTCAGACCCCACACTTGGGTAATCAAACTACCGCTCGTGGGGAATCGGCACACAGCTGGCTCAAGTCTCACTTGAAAAGCCACAAGGCGGACATGGCGATTGTATTCGAAAAAATAGCAGACGCGGTTACCAAGCAGGTGACAAGGAACGTGGTCAACTTGGAGAACCAGGCGGTTTCCTCTTTGTCTGGAATCGAGCCACCTTTCAAGCATCTCCATGCATGTGTATTGATCCATGCACTGCATCTGGCCAATGCTCAACATAAAATATGGAAGGAGAAGGCGTGTGCGAAGGCTGGGGGCGCAGATGACTCGGAGTGTACCGGGAGCTACAAGGCGAGCATGGGGATTCCATGCTGGCACATGTTAGCTGAGATCTTGGAGAGGGGCGATGAGGTTCAACTGTCAGACTTCCACCCTCAGTGGAGCTTGAGTTACAACCCAGATAATCCGGTAGGTGACATTTTCTCTCTTGTAAGAAGCACTGTTACTGAGGATGTGTGTTGAATTTGGCCACCCACCATTAACAGGACGAAGAAGAAATATATGACTTCAATAAGGATTATGATGAGACCCTCAAAGCGGAAATATTGGCGCTCCACGGGCCTATGACTTTGCGAGGACTGATGAAGACGTTCAGGCAGGTGTTATATAACACACATGTTGTGCCCATTGCGCCTGATATTGAGCCAGTACGCAAATCAACAAGAAAGGGTTCCAAGAAACGCAAGAAACTCGGCCGAGGCCAACAATTGGCCAAACGTGATCCAATACACGCCGAGGTGGTTGAGGAGGAAATTGAAAAGGCCCAGAAAACCAAGAAGAAAGCCACGAGGAAACTTGCTGCTCATGCCAAGCTGAAGGCGGCCAGGGCCATTCTGAAGGGTCGAGAACCGAAGGCCAAATGCAAGGATGGCACTAACACAAGGGCTCCAGCAACTGTGCTTGGGAAAAGGAAACAAGCGGCCAGCTTGTCCCCTTCGGGGGACAAGGGGGACAAAGGCCCACCGGTTGCTTCAGCTGGCTCCGAGGGGGATGACTCATCTTTGGATTCCTCCGAATTCTCTGAAGATGAGTCTGATGAGGAGATCGCAACCTCGGAGGCATATGAGGACGCCACACGTGAGGATGGCGAGGGCAATTGTGACATGCCCCCATCTGGTGTGGACCTAGTTTCAGCTCTGGTATGTTTCATTTTTTGCCTGTTTGTTTGAATGATCAGACATTGGCTGAAACTGATGCCTTCCCCATTGGAACCCCGTGCCTATTTGGAAGGTCTCCAATACTGCTGATCCGCAGGGGAGCATTGGACCAATAACAACGGGTCCACAGGTGAGTCTACACTTTTGGATTGATCAGATTAAGTGCTGGTCTAATCATTGTGTAGATAAGGACCGCATGATTTTGCTCAATTGACTCTAGAAACTCAATCCCAGTTTGCGTGAGGAAACTCCTCCCTCCCGTCGTGTTGAGAGTATTCTGTGATTTGTCCGCATGTAGCCCATCTTCCATGTGTGAACCCATGTTGACGTCAGCCTGTACCGGACCGGTTGTATTTGCTGACGAGAATTGGCTGAAGGTGGGGCAGGTTGTTCGAGGTGCGCCAATAGGATTTGGGAGGATGAAAAATTCACCCTTCCTTGGGGCACACGTGGGTGATTGATTAGGGGTTCGGACGTCTTTTGCCGGGTGGGAGTCTGAGGCCGGGTGAGTCTCTGTACCAGTGGTTTGAGCCGAGGATTGGGCACCTGGAAGAGCACTTGACTGCACAGCAGTTTGGGTGTGCTCCTCACCAACAGGGGTTTCAGGTGACCTTCGGATGTCAGTGACCTCTGGACGACCCATATCCTTGTCATCAGAATTCTCGTAATCTGCCTTGATATCGTTGAGGAGGGCTTGAATGTGGCCCCGTTCGTTTGGTTTCAAAGCCGGGTGGGTAGCCAACGCCTGGACTTTCTCGTAAAGGTCCAACCCTGTGACATTTTTCAAGCAGATGTGTGAGATGGCGAGAACGCATGATGAAAACTGCCAAGAGATTAACTTACGTTCCAGGGTAGACATGGTCTATACAACCACAGGTAGAAGTCAGCATTGAATTTATTATGGCAAGGGTTAAAAAAATCGGAATACTTACACTTGACACTTGAGAGAGTAGGTGTGGGTGGTTGCAGTTCATGTAGGAGGACTGAAAGGAACCCAAAAAGAAAATCTGTGAGCAATTCACTTCTCACGTACCCTCATACCATATTGGAATGCTGCATATCCCCAATCACACCTATTTGGGGCGCATTGGGGGGCAGGACGCCCAAGAGAAAATCTACTAACATGTTTTACCTAGGGTTCTTATATATGGCCCTGGATTGATTGGAGCCTCACTCGAGCGGTTTGTAGGGCTATGGTGTGGATGAAAAAAAAAATAAGCCTCAGACTTTTCCTGATTGGGCACCCATAAAAAATTACTCACATGTTGTACCTAGGGCCCTTTTTTATTGCCCCTGATTGGACTTTTATGTGGCAGTACGTCTTCTGGATGGATCAAAAACCAGGGTCAGCATCATACCCTTATGCATGCCTGGATAGCCCCCATTTTTAATCCCTTTGAGGCGTATTTTGCTGGACCCAAAAAAAAAATACTCACATGGCCTAGTTTCTTTTTTATTGCCCGGGATTGGTTTCAGATGTGAGTGCAATTTGAGGTTGGTTGGTCTTCTGGAATGAAAAAAAGGGGTCAGCTTCATACCCTCATGGCTGGATAGCCCCCAAAAAAAGGCCCTTTTTGGTGTATTTTGGGGGCAAGTGACAGGAAAAACCAAAAAAAACAACCAAAAAAACACACTTTTTTTTGACCCAGGTGCCTTTTTTTGAGGATCGGATCGGACCGGATCGATGCCTCGGACGTGCGTGGGTTCCCCTTGGCAGCTCTCGGGCCTGGAAACAACCCTCGGTCGGTTTCGGTAGCCTCGGTCGGGTTGGGAGGCGGTCGTTTCGCGCCGCTTGTGTTCGGGGGGGTTGGCTGGGATGGGTGAGGTGGTGGTTGAGGACAGAAAAAGAGGGGGAGGCAAGAGGGGGGGGGGAACGAACAGAGCAGCAAGCCGCTTACCTCATCAAAACATCCGGGGATGTTTTGATGAGGTAAGCGGCCGGGAATCAAGGTTCTCTCTCTCTCCTTGGGAGGAGAGAGAACTTTATTGATACTTGATATCGATAAAGTTCTCTCTCCTCCCAAGGAGGAGAGAGACAGGGCGCTTACGTGATCAAAACATCCAGGGATGTTTTGATCACGTAAGCCCAGCCAAGAACCTTACCGATACGATATCGGTAAGGTTCAGAGACAGGAACCTTACCGATATCGTATCGGTAAGGTTTCGAGCTTGTCGAGGG